ATAAATTCATAAATACTAGTTCAATAAAATTTTGAATTTGAGTCAACAAATGCGATGATATGGCCTTTTACCTGAGACCCATGTCAAAAGGGTTAACAGTCAATCAGGTTTAACACAAATAGCAATATCTTTAGCAACTTTTTTTGTTATTTTCATTATAGATATAGTTCGCTGTATATAATTTTTCAGTGCATCAATGCATTTGAAATATTTTAGAAGTTTAATTCTTTATTTTATGTTTGAATATAAATTGAATTATATATATATTGTACACTAACTAAAGCAACCATGCAATATAATTTTTCAGCTTATGTAAAATTTTCTCAGAAACAGTTGTTAAAAGGAAAATATATCTATTTTAAAAAAATTGTCTACATGGATAAATTTCAAGGTAAAGTAATTTACCAAGTGAAAATATTTGATATTTGTGATTAAATTTGGAATTTCTTCCCTGTAAGGTATTTCATGTTAACTTTGTGTGAGAAAGTTTGAAATAAAATTGTTCTCAAACAAAGAGAGAATGACATTTTTTATATGATTAAAAATTACATTTTGCACATAAAATTAAATAAGAACACTGAACTCTACATCTTGCAAACTTTTTAAAGTTTGTTAGAATAAATATGATACAAATTTGGCTTATACTTCGGGAGCAATTGATGCTGCTGGTTGATGCTAAATAGTGATGGAGTATATAAGGAGTATCTGTATGGATTAAATCTAATGCACTGAAAAACATTTTTTTCAAGACACAAAATTGTTTCACAGATATCAAGAATACAATTTTTTACACTAAACTAACATTAACCATGTCAATATTACAAAATGAGAGGTCTTCATTCAAGTGGTTTATAACTAAAGAATTATTTTTATCAAAACACTTCATCTTTGCAATTGAAATAAATGTATTTTCCTTACAAGTGTTGAGTTTAATTTGCAAGTCATAATATTTTATTGTGTTGCTATAAAGTAAGATATACTTACATTTACATATCCATTATCCTCAATTATATGCACATCTAAGAAGTATTTACAACAGTAAATATTTAAGCCTGGACAACAGGGCATATATAAATTCTCATAATTTCAACATAAATTAAAATCTGACATTCTCTGTTCACATGCTAAAACATTTCTCAGCATTATAATTCTGATCTTTAGTTGATTTAGGATTAATGAATATAAACGACCTCAGTTAGTTATTAATAAAAACTTTTACTGTCCACAAATTTTTATTTAGATTAACTTATGACGGTTTGTACATATGTTTCTTTATAAACTATATGCTGAAAAAGTTACCAACAGGCTAATTTTTCTTGAACAGTGCAGTGTGATATAATATTAGGTTACTTGCGTTAATAAAGAGGTATGCATTTCAATATCGGCCACTGTCTGTTGCAATACATACATACAAGGCACTACAAAAGAAATATTTAATGTAATTTTATATTTTAAATCTTATTGACATGTCTTTTCACCTTTGGGGTTTTCTCTAGTTTCAAAGGTAAACAGTTTCTTTGGGTTGTTTGGAAAACTAAAAACATGGACTTCAGTCTTCAAGACCATAAAAAGTCTGTTGAAGAAAAAAAAAGTTGCGTATATGTATACGATGAAAATTTTAAGAAAAAAGTAATTTAAAGTGATCAGATATTTTACTGTTAAATGTAATTATAAAGCAAAAATCTATTGAGACAAAAAATAACACTGTAAAGAATAAATGATATGCCTGTTATCTGAATACTATGCCATTAGAAGTTTAACATACTTATTCATTGTATTTTCCAGATCTTATGTTTAACCTACTGATTAAAGAATACATACCGTAACACTTGTGTATACATAAAGGATTTCCTTTAATATTCATAAATTTCTGGATTATCAAGTTCCAGATTTTACATGTAATTTATTGATTCAAGAACACATACACACTATAAGATTTGTGTATAAATAAAGGATTTTCTTCAGTATTTGCAAGTGTCTTAATTATCAAATTTAGCTTGGTATTAAAAAAACAAACAAACTCCATTGTAGTAGATCAACACTTTCTCTAAAATATACTTTATTGCCTAAGTTATATTCAGTTATCAGTTTGAAATTTTAAAACTAAGCTTTCGTTTACAATAATTCTATGGTGCCCAGGTGGGTGCTCCTTGGCCCAATGGCAAACTGAAACACTAAATTAAAAAATTATAGAAAACTACTTGAAGTACCCATCCCCTGGATGGAAGTTATGTAAATTCATGATTAATGAAAGGTTATCTTAGGACATGAAAAGTCACATCCCTTATATATATAATTGTAAAAAACACAAAAATGGCCATAAAACTACAAAACACAAAATATGAAACTGGAAATTTGTACGTATCTCTCCATGGACCTAATGAACCTCCATAACAAATTTGGTCAAGATCCATCTACAGGGGATGAAGTAGTGGTTAAAGAACGCAAAAACGCCCATAAAAATCAGAAAATGCAAAACTGAAAATTTGTATGTATCTCCTCCATGGACCCAATGAACTTCCATACCAATTTTGATGAAGATCCATTCACATCCTGCAAACAAGTTACATGGACATACAACAGACAGTACAGTGTACTTTTATACTTATACAGAAAAACTTGTCATTCTTCCAAACATTTGTTTATAATATGGCACTCATAGCCACTAGAGGGAAATTAGAAATAGTTTTTAATGAAATAGTAATAATTTATTAATTTTTAGTTAATCACTGTTTCTCACTATTGACTGTCAATGTGCATTGTGATTGAATATATCTCATCTCTGAGAAGTCATAGGCTAAAAATGTAATGAAAGTTCTTCTTTTCTATTCTTTTCAACTGTATAAAATAATATGTCTTCCAGTTAATCAAAGACTTGCTTAGAGATCAGAACAAAAGCTTAAATTGGTGATATTTTTTCTAGTAAAAAAAAACGTTTGTGAACAATTTCCACCACAATTACAGGTCTAATTTTTTCAACCCTGTTTTACCATTTGTTTTTTAATTTTTGTTGTACACCAGTAATTGTAAACACACTAAAACTGTATATGATGTTTTTCAAATTAAAACAATGTTAAAGTTTACAATTTTATAAAATAAGAATTTTTCAGGAAAGTTTTCATTGTTTTTTTGATAATTTTTCATACAGCAAAACCACATTGGGCTATCTACTGTGTCCACCATGGGGAATCAAACCTCTAATTTTAGCAGTATATGTCCATAGACTTACTGCTGTACCACCATGGAATAGGAAAATCTTAAAAGAGTGTAGCAAAACAAAAGGTAGTAACAAAGATATTTTTAATTGCTTCTTAAAAAGCCTATCAAAATAAAATCTTTTGAATTTTCAAAGCTACAAATTCCTATAAATATCCCATATCAAAATCAGATATTTTATTTGTAGAAGGTACATAACCCATAAAAAGTTCAACTTAGTAGTTTTTTGCAATGCAATAGAACAAGATAATTAAAAATTTGCCGTGTTATTACTAACATAAACTTCATTTGGTAGTATGGAGTTATTAGTGCAAATTTCCAATCTAAGTGCCATATTGATAGTCCGTGTCCAATATGTGCTATCAAGGGTTAGGTGTTGAGATGTCCCATAGAGCTATCGAGAAACTTTGGCATTTCAGAGGCAACTATTTAGTTGAAAAAAAGAAACAAAAAAACCTTACTGATGAACCTTTCAAAACAGCCCAGCAAATTTGTTTAAATATCTCAGTGCTCCCTAACCTACATAAGATGAGTGATAAACTTTCTACTGTGGAGGCCTAATACATATTTCATTTATCTTACAGTACATTTTATCTACTGTGGAATCAGAGTAGCTAACAAAGTCCCCATATATTTTTGTACTAAACACACAGTTTTCATTGTTATTGTTACATTAACATTAAGTATGCATTTTATGAGCTCAAAACAACATATCATGCCTTGTTATATTCAATTATCATCTAATCTACATTTACATCTCAATCTAATACGTTCTGCTCATCAACATTGCATGAAAAAGTAATGAATACCTTGGCAGAGGTATAATCTTTGGGGGACAATATCTCCATGACCAAAAGGCACGTCAAAATTTTTCTTAAAGCACGTTTTTTGTATGCCTGTAATTAAGCGCAAAGCTACACGGTGGGCTATCTGTGCTCTGCCCACCACGAGTATCGAAACCCGGATTCTAGCATTGTAAGTCCGCAGACATACAGCTGTGCCACTGTGGGGGGGCTCTTAAAGCAGTCTTCATATCTTATATAAATCTATAATTCACATAAATGTTACAAACTAAAATACAATAGTATAAAAAAATTAATTTTTAAAAGTCAGTCAAACATGAAAAAAGGGTGCCTTTTCTCATGAATCAGCTGTTATGTAGTAAAACTTAAATCTTGCTTGTTAATTCAGGAATACGGATACTGGTTGGTTATCAGGATATAAAATATAATTTTTGGTATTTGTGTTGGCTTACTTACTTGTCTCTTCTCATGCAAACTGCCAGAACTGGTGAAGTAAAGGTGAATTCTAACACAAACTTCTTACTTAGATCATCCCAGATCAAAACTAGTAAAAGAAGGTTTAAAATTATTGTTATTATGGGAATTTTAAATTCAGCAGTTCATCTTATACCAGGCTAGCAGTATGCAATATTTCTGAAATTCAAATACATTACCTCTCATATACTACACGTTTTGTTGGTGAAAAATAATAAATAAAAAATTATTTAATGACTTTTGAATATCCTTGATACCACAGTTTATAATCATAACATCATTACAGTTAACATATTCTGAAGAGCAGGAGTGTCTCATCATGTAAGGCATTGCCCTAATCTAGACATTTATTTTTTATCATTAGTTTTTGTTTGTTTATTTATAGTTAAGCACAATGCTACTACAATGGGCTATCTGTGCTGTTCACACCACAGGTATCAAAATTCAGTTTTTAGCATTATAAGTCTGCAAACTTACTGGGGAGCATTTTATCATTAATTACTATTAAAGCTTCAATCACGACTTAATATTTCTGAATAAAGAAACAGCTAGTAAGTGCATTCAAACAAGAAGCACTGAGTGTGTCAGAATGTCCCACTGACACCCAACAGGAAAGCATTGTTAGACAAGCTATAGAATGCCTAAAGAGGAAGTGAAAAATGGGCTCTACAAGACAAAAAGTTGCACGATGTGACACAACAGTGGTTCCCAAATGCTGATACACAAAATATTTAAACTGGTCTGCAAGATATTTGAAGAAAAAGAGTATGTACTTTAAAGCATAGCTACTGAAGTACATTGTTTTACAATGTAATACTCTAGAAATTAAATATTGTACAAAGCAATCCATAAAATTTTGGTATCAGAAATAACTGGTCTTTAGTAGGAAAAATGGTTGGGAACCACTAATATACAGTGTGTGCCTCACTTGTCAAAATGTTTGCCACTGAGACAGGGATCATATTTTTAAATCTTGGTGATGCTGAAGAAACAGCATATTGTAAAGTATACTTTGAACCTAAAGGTATAAGAAAATTTTTGTACCTCATCTATTACACTTATACTAGCAATTGCAACATTAATTATAATTATTACATTAAGATGCAGTTTTTACATTTTTGCTCTCTTTGACTAATAAAAAAGTACTTAACAAAATACAAGAAACTTCATTATAGAAAGTCATACATTTTACATAATACTAATGTTACTTATGTAAATAAAATAATCTATACAATATAATGAATTAGAAAAAACAGGAACTACAAGTAAATTGCCACAAAATGATTACACAAATGTCAATACATGGAACTTATTTGGGAACACTAAGTCATGTGACTTCTAATAACACATCTTCCCCACCTACACATGTACAACTGCAGCAAGTACCTACAAAGAAGAAAAAAAACATGGAAAAGTGTCTTTCAAACAAAATACACATAAGCTTTATTCGAAATTTAAAGGAAATTGTAGAGAAATTCACCAGTGTTTTCAGCAAACTTAGGCCTTGACCTCCACCAACTATGGCCAACAAGTTAGTCCTGTGGAGCATCTCACAAATACCAATACTGCCAACTACAGAGACATCTGAAGTAAAAAAAAACAGTCAGAAGTATATATTAAGAAAAATATACTGTTTCTTTTATTTATAAATTCTATCAAAAATATCAAAAAATAAGAACAAATCCTTTAACTGATTCAATTTTTAAAACCAAAATGCTTTTATTTCAAAAGTATTTGTAAACTTTTATTATTGAATGGATACATACAGTGGTATTAAAAGTTAAAGTGGAAAACATACATATTATTTAATCCTAAAATTACTGACATGTTCTTATACCATTCACTATTGGTGGAGTCCACATACTGCATCATCCTGGGTAATTTTATCTTTTTTTCCTGTTACACCACAAGGTGTATAGAGCTTACCCAAAAAAACTCCTTTTATGTGTGAAATACACTGGGAACTCCAGCAGTAATTTGTGAGATTAATAGTATTATTGATATTGATGGTATTTTTGTTGAGATTCTTTTTGCAACTTATATGTTATTAGGGACCCTGTGACAAATAAAGTTATGAAACCATATGCAGTTTGGTGTACAAGTAATTTATAAAAACATGTCTCAAAGAGATTTAAGATAAATAACAATCCCAATGGCAGTTTTACAAATACCAAGATGTCTAGGATCATAATAATGATATGTACTCTAGTAACACAGATAGAATACAAAAAGTTGATAAACATATAAACCTGACCCTAGGAAAATATCTTACCCAGATGGGCTTTTTCTGATAATGGTTCTAGGTTATATATCCTCAATCCATCTTCCATACAACAAGTAAAGCACCCTGAAGAAACAAATACATGAAATAATACAGCTTTTTTCTTTATGTACATAAGCAAATACACGATATATATATAAACACGCACACACACATATATATATATGAAGGACTTACACAATCCAATAAAAACAAAAGTGAGTTACTTTGTTTGATGATTTTGTTATGAATTGGACTGTGTGTTTCCAGGTTACATTAAAATAGGGTGCTGTTTGGTCCTCTTGTCTGGGAATTGTAGGTTACAATGATGATATTCTGTCACATTTCTTGTCAATTTATTTAAATAAGCTCTAAATATGAAATTGTTGCTTACAAACCCATGTAATTTCATGAATATAATAAAAATTATATAATGATTTCATAGCTATTGAAATTTAATTTTTGGATACACTTATTCATAAACATCTTACCTTGAAAAAAGGGGGAAATATTGTATCATATGTATAGTAAATAATAGTTCAATTTACCCATTACGAGGGAAAGCATGCTTTATTTTAAGTGGTACCATTAAGTTATGAGAATACTAAGGAATACCATTAGTGACATGCTAAGTGGAAGAAACCATTTTGTTAAATTTGGGTGCATGTGGTCTACAAAGATATTTATATTACAGTGTGCAGTCTACACAGAAAACTAATAAAGTACAAAATACCATTACATAAAGTTTTTGGGGCAAATATAATTGGAATGAAATAAATTCCAACAGTCAAAACTAACACAATTATAACCTAAATTTGATGTACTCTTTTGGAACACACAACTTATTAAATTATTATTACTTGATGAACAAAAATGCAGATAGATATAAATTATTTAGTAAGAAATTATATTTTAATGAATCATTAAAAGGATGATGATGATAGTGAAAAGTGTTATTTATAAACAAAAGTTAAACTGGTGATGATAGTATCTGTGTAGATTACACACTATAGTGTAAATATCTTTGTAGACCGTACACTATAGTAGCACCTTAATTTGTTTGATAACGTAAGACATGCGTTTTAGCAATGTTGCAAGGTATTACAGTAGTTACACATGAAACTATTTAATTAAATACAATGTTCAATTTATAATAATTAAATAAGAGGATAAATACAGATCACCACTGACAGGGAGATGTCAGTACAATATGTTGCAATTAATATCTAATTTAATATACATTTAATATTGCTTGCTAAACTATTAAAGTTATTATAAATTTCCTTTGCTACAGTTATTACGTGATGCTCCTCCATTGTCCCCAATTATTCCTATAGCCATCACAAATAAAAACCATGTAGGACATCTGTCTGTAGTAACTGAGCATATGTGCCAAGTTTCTTTTTGCTAGATAGCTTTAAACGTGGCACTCCAGGATCCTGAGTGGGGCCAAGAACACAAAATCTTATGCAAGACTCCAATTCAGAATCCCTTACAACCTACACCTAGACCCACATTGTGTCTGGGTGACCTTCCTAGCTCCCCCTAGTAGGGAGGCTACACACTATAGATAAGAAACTCCCCATGCAACTGCGAGTCCACCTGCCAAATTTGGTCCTGCTAGCTCCAAAACTGGGAGGAATTTGGAGTTATACAAATTCACACAGAACTAGTTGATATAGGGATTTCACAATGAACCCCATACACACAATTCATGTAAGTAACATATTAAATAAAAGTTTGGAGATAGCTTGACTGAGTAATGATGAAAACTTTATTATAAATGTATGATGTTTCAACTAGATTATATCATCCTCAGGTAACATCATACATTTATAATAAAGTTTTCATCATTACCCAGTCAAGCCGTTCTCCAAACTTTTATTTTCTATAAAGTGGGTTCAAAGATAAAAAGTAATGTATTATTAAACATAATTTCACAACATTTCCAGAAGGCATAATATATGTTTTTTGAAGAAACTTAAAGGTGTGATAAGGATTGTTCTGGAAAATATAGACCAATCAGTCTTACTTCTGTAGTGTGAAATATTCTAGAGGAGAATCTGATAAATGAAGTTCTACAAATAATTTACAGAATTATGATATAAACAAACGTCAAAATATTTTTTTCAAAACTATTGCTTGTTATATGGATTGGATAATGGAAAGGGTATAAGTCGGGTATACTTTGAATTTCAAAAAGCTTTTGATATGGTGCCACACAAAAGAATGGCTATGAAAAGTACACTAAATAAGGATTGGAAAAAGACTAGTTAATTGTACTGGTTGGATGAGAGAATAAAACATTTTATTAATGCACTCTAGTCGCACTGGACCTTTGTTATTAGCAAATCAGTGCATACTTGGGCCTTTGCTTTTTCTTATTTACATTAATAAGTTTGATAGAATTATAATTGATATATAAGTAAAGTACATTGATAATGTCAAATCCTCAAGTATTTCTAGCTGTATTGAAAATGTTGAGGTGTTAGAAAATGACTCGGTTCAATTGGTAAGTTATAACCTTAGTTCTTGGATTATCATAAGCTGGATCACATGTGAAATATAGATGAAACAGATTCAATAGAGTGGTCAAAGAAAAAATCTTGCTATAGTGGTGGATAATGAGTAATTATTTCTATATACAAATCACTAGTTAAGTTTCACTTAGAATACTATATATATATGCAGTTTCATATCTTTATGTAAGAAAGAGATATTGACTTACTGGAAAAAGGGTTCAGATGAGGACTACTATGATGATTACAGGGATAGGTTAAGATCTCAACTCATTTTCTATTGAAGTTTACAAGATTATCTAAGAGATTGATAGAACTAAGGCCTCTGATTTTTTATGTTATATTCTAAAGATAATAGAATGGAAGGACATAAGATCTGGAAAAAATATTTGTTAGGGTCTAGTTAAGACAGTTTTATTTTTTCTTACAGGCTAATTGATTTATTAAATGAGTTTATGAGGAGAATTGATGACTTCCTGAAAAGTAAAGGGCAGGTTTAAATTTTCAATTTTTTTCACTGGTAAGTGTATAATGACAACCTTGAAGAACCAAATGGTCCCTTGTTGTCTGTAGGTTATGATATGAGGAGCTCAAAACACCTATATTTACTATGCATTTGTTAATGCAGGTGTTCTTATGATGAAATACTCAAGAAATATTGAAAATATGTATTTATACAGTATTCCTGTATCAAACGTTTTTTAGACTTTATCTGTAATACATGGGCCTTTACATGCAAGGTATAACATATTCAGAGTTTAAATTAACAATCACAATTCAAAAGTTACTGTTCAATAATGAACTAAACAAACGAAATGTAAATAATATAAGTTTTTATTGCTAAATTTTTCTTGTGAAAATACTGATCAAAACAGATTTAATGGCAAGATTTTTAAATATATACATCACAATTCTCTTAATAATGAAATCGAAACTTTAAATGTAAGGGATGCAAATATTTGTAATTTCACTGTCGAAAGCATAATATTATTAATATATAAGGTATAATGTGATGATGCAGTGTCAATAATAGATATACATACTTCTAGTGTAAAATTATAAATTATAGATGGTGTTTCTAATCTGTTGCACAGACCTGGCCTATGCTTCAGAAGTTCAGCATTGAAATGCTGGAAAACCAAAAAGCTGATTTTATTGTATTACGCCAAAAGAAAATATCACAACTACTGTATTAAGCCTCAATTTAATTTTTAATTTGAATTATTCTGGTGTCTTGGGCATTCTAAACTTCAGTTTAACTACATATGGAATTTTATTGTATTTATTTAGTTAACTTAATTCAAAATATAACAACCGTAACTGTAAGGCTAAAACATCAAAAGTAAAACTTAAACTTTAACGTTCACCCGACTCAGTTCTACTTATTTCTAAATACTAACTTAACGTCTTAAGTAACCAAAGTCCAGTCCAAACTCAATTCTTACCATGATCTTGATTGAAACTCAAAGCAATTACTGCTTCTTGACTATGGCCATACATTTTAAACCCCTTCTTATTTTTCTAGCAAATTAAATAATTTGTTGTTGATATAATTCAAAATTTAACTGTTCGAAATATCCTACGCTTAAATTAAAACATTATCTTTACTCTTCTCACGTCAACAGATGATTTGATAAACAACGTAGTAAACATGTGACATCTATCGGTCAAAATCTGTTACCATAAAACTCACTTTATGAACAATAAACAGAAAAATATGTTGTTAATAAAATGTAACAAAACAAGGATAACTGAAAAATTTCCCACAGCAGTATAAAATGTCTTCATATTAATATCATTATTTAATGAATGGTTTTTTGTTTTTAATAAAAGAATGTATATTATTTACATAAAAGTGATGAATTGGTATGCATATTAAACATGACAAAAATTCTCACATAAAAAAATGACTCAGTAGCAAACCTTTCTTGATCACAGTTTGTTTCCTTCAGAAAATTTCATCTTTGTATATCAATACTTGGTATCCACTTGAAGGAAATTAGCTATGAGTACAAAAAGTTTAATGTATTTTATTTAAACATGAAATAAGTCAACTACTTTTGAACAAATTGAATCCGATACAGCTCAATTTCTAATGAACGAAATTTTGAGTACGTTATAACAAAACAATTGGAATATTATCACGTCGTTACAGCTCATGTCGCAGTGTCTAGTTACAGTTATGCTCTATCTGACGATCGTGTATTTTGACAATAGCTCTGCAGTTTAGTTTTCATTGCAAAAAAATACAAAAAAAAATATTGGTGTAATTGGTGTAATATTGCCACGTTGAAAGCACATTTCCTCCCTGCATACTTTTCATAATCCATAATTTTTCGGCAATCAACAGTCTGATCACACAGTTATCCAGGTATTCATATGGAATGTGGTTGGAGTAGAAAATTTTTGCATAGCAGCGCTGCGAGCTATGACACCAAGTGGGTTAATTCCAGATTATCATGGAACATCACAATCCGTGAATTTTCAAGAAGTTAAAGTTCCATCTTGTAGTTAACTATTCCCCAGTGTATGTAATGTGGACTTTACAAAAGCTCAAAGAAGAACTAAAGAAAAAAAGTATGCGACAGTTTAACTAAAAGAATGTATTAATTGAAAAGCAAGACTAAGTGATCTTTACCATTATTTACTATCAGGCTCTATGTAATGTAGACCTATAGAACAACAAGGTACACGTACACATGTAGTTATAAGTTAAGAACAGTCAAATTAAACACAGCCATACACATATTAAATAATAAACTGAACAATGTATCAAAATATACAAATATGATATTTGAAAGGAAAAATTGCATATATTCCTATATCAAACGAGGTGGTGTGGTGTAGGAAGCTTGAGGTGGGGATAGCAAAGAATGGCATTTGGTTGACTTCCTTAAAAAATAGATTAAAAAATACACAAGACATAATTGAACAATAATAGACTGTTATGTTTTATTTGTTTAGGTTACAACCTAACCTAACACAAAGTTCAGAATTTGGAATCAGAGTATAAAACTGAGCATGCTTTATTGTGGACATGCTTGGAAAACTGTTTCAATTTATTTTAGACAGTGATATTGGTAAATTAAGAAATTCTCTTTAGTTATTAGCTTCACTTACAGTGGAGTTAAGTATTTGAAATATTTAAGTATTTCAAAGGCCCCCCAGTGGCACAGCAGTATGTCTGCGGACTTACAACGCTAGAATCCGGGTTTCAATACCCGTGATGGGCAGAGCACAGATAGCCCATTGTGTAGCTTTCTGCATAAGTACAAACAAACAAACAAGTATTTTAAAGCAGATTAAATATTTCCATGCTGAAGTTACAATGATCAAGATCTGGTACTGCTGTAGGTTTAAAACTATAACACATAAACTGCTTAATATGTAGGTTTGAAATGTATTTATCCACATCAGTCACCCATGGGAAGAACATATTAAGAGCTGTGTCTTGCAGCAGTGTGATGTTCATAGTAGAACACTATGAATGCTACAAAGTTTCAAGAAATATCACTATCGGGAATAAATGGTACTCACTGCCGTGTTAAGGCAGTCAACATCAATTTTCATAAATCTAGATACTGAATGAAAAAATAATAAAGAAATATGATTTGTAAAATGTTGATGTAAGAAACAGCTGTTTTAATTTGAAAAAAATTAAACAAAAATGAATTTTTTTATCAGTCTTCCATAACTTTATTCATTCTTAAAATAATAAAAAAATTACTTGTAAAAAAAAGAACAAAAAAATGTTAAGACAATGTTTTAACCAAACCTTACATTACTGCAGACTATTCGACTTTTGTTTGGACAGAATTATCTGTGTGTGTGTGTGTTTATGTGATTTACTCCATACTTACATTAGGTCATCAAAATTTGGCATGTTTCAAATGTTTCATTTAATAGTTTATATGAAAGATAAAACTACATGGACTGTTACTACCGGCTCTTCTGGATTAAATTTAGTTACATTATTATTATTATGTTCAATATTCAGTTGTCACTTATTCTTTCCTTTTTCTCAGAAGCAATTGATGTTGCAGAAAAATATGTGAAGATGAATGAACATCCACTTAGTTTTCTTAGAACACAAACAACTTTTTCTGCACTTTTGTATTTTGGTGGAGTTTACAAACATGCTCTTGTTTGATTCCGTCCAGTTTAACCTTCTTCCGTTCATTATTAAGCTTATTAATGCTACTGTGCAGCTAGTTTTGTCATCAGAGGTGCTAAAATCATAAATGACCACCAGTCAAATAATTCATTCAGTTTTCAGTCTGCTAGAGTTTACTGAGGCTTTTGTCCAAGGTAATCTTAGCTATCAAAGTCTTCTATTAATGCCTTGTCTCTGCAATTGTAACAATAATGTTTTTTATAATTGCCACAATTTTTACTTACCCTTCATCATACATTCCCAAGATGATGATAATGAAGAAGTCACAAATGAGTATATATCCAGGTAAAGAAATAATGATCAAGATGATTTACTTAGATTGTAAGTATTCTTTTCTCATTAATTTTTAGTCTGTATTTAGACATGTCAGAGAGATTTAACCGTTAAAAGTTAATGTTGTTGGTCACACTTCATCCTTGATTAATCTAGTTGTTCATCTTGAAAGAATGAAATCTGTATTATGATTAATAATGACAAGACAGCCAGAAAGTGTCTAATTTTAATTGATGAACACCAGTTTATTGATTATCTTAAATATTAAATTTTATGGTTATTAGGCATTACATATTTTGACGAATCATTCTAAAATTCTAATTCTGCTACACTGATGTTCATGTAGGCACATTATTACCTGGTCTTCCAATGAATAATGTGGAGCAATATTTCCATACAAATTAAGAGTTACAGAACAAATGTAGAGGCGTGTAACAAGGAAGGTAAAACAAGTTTTGTGTTGTTAACTTATGAATATTAGCTCTATGGTGAATATTATGTCTCTTATAAAATGTCCCTCAATATTACAGGCATATATACATATATGTACTATTCTGATTAAAGCAACTTATGTTCAAAAAAAGCGATAACAAGTGAAACCTTGTACATTATTAAACATTTACTACACTTAAAAAATTCTGGACGATTTCAGGTTTATCAAATATGTGCAAATGGCCACTTTGAACAACTTAACATGCATACATCAAGGGTGAGGTCTGGGCTGAATACACCAAGCAGCATTTCACACACACACGCGCGTGCAATTTTAATCTGTATTATTACAATTTATCTAATCATCACTTAAGGGGCGACAAACCTTTCACAGTGCAAAACCGAATATGGGGTTCGCCAATGAAAGTATGGCATCTACAAGAAACTCGACGCAAGAAGTTTGTATATGAACCTAGACCACAAAATTCTAGAAAGTAGTCACGTTATGTTGAGTAGTTAGGAAGCACTGTCGTGAATTTTATGGTAAAACTAATGTTTCTTTGGATAACAGGTCTACCATTTTGAGATTTTAACATGACTTACATCTGATTTATTTATGTAAGGTAAGAACGTAAATTTAGCAAGACAATTGTACAGATATGTTTTGTCTTCCAGGAAGTAAGTAAAATGTCTGTACTAGAGCTGTGTGAACCAGCAAACCCTGTAGCTAACTATGCTGATCATCCTTAGTGGGGGAAGACTGATGATGCCTTACTAAAAACAGCCAAGATACGTGAATTAATAAAACACATTTGCATTTAACTTACATGTAGTCATTATAGAATACAATTAGTAATGCTATATGATACATACCTCTAAAAACTCACTAAAATGGCTTCTAAACATTCATAAATGGAATTTTATGATTCCTCATGTTGCAAATACTATACCTATCATTATTCTTCGACATTTTGTTTTGATCTTTTGTTCGATATAATAATCAACCGTCACTTTTTACGAGTTTTATGCAACTGCTGGTCGTGGGTTCGAATTCCTGTTGCACCGAACATTCTCGCCCATTCAGTCGTGGGGGCAATATTATGTGGCACAGCGGTATGTCTGCGGACTTAAATAGCTACAAACCGGGTTTCGATACCCGTGGTGGGCAGAGCACAGATAGCCCATTGTGTAGCTTTGCGCTTAACTACAAACAAACAAATGCTAGTTCTATTTAATACTTAACGATTTATATTAAAAGGACTTAAAACACTGTAAGTTTTTTGCTCTTGTTTTCTGCCTGCTTTAATATATAAATAAATAAAGTAATTAAGATATAAAATTTCAGGGGTATAATGTCAATGATTTGTTTGTTCTATACCATGTTATGGTAAATATTTCTACTTTTTGTTAAAAATAGAAGGGGGAAAGCATTCGAAGTTGTTTTGAAAGATCTGAATATCGCTTCCAAAAGGGTACACATTGAAAGAATTATTGTCCTAAGATATACAATTTTGAAAGACCCCCTGACTCCTCTGTCATTTCTGATTACTCAAGTTATCAGAGTTGTTTTCACTTTATGCAATTTCTGAAAGTGTTTTGTTTCAGGTATTGCATAATTTGATCTACTCCAACACTGCATTCTTAATATTAAAGTTTGTAATTTATTGTACTGGAAATAGGTTTTAATGTTTACATTTAAGATAAATATTATATATTGTGAGGAGGAAAATATCAATGGTTGACATTCTAAAGAACTAGTACATTATTACTGTCCCATTGACTATGTTGCCAAATTTCCTAAAACTCAAGTTATTGTTGACGGAAGGGAGTGTCCAACCTTGAAACCCAGACTGTGGTGCAACAAGTCACTTTCTCCACATACAATAACAGTAATGCCCTGAAGTTTATGGTAGGAACTGCACCAGGTGGATTGATTTCATATTTATTACCATCATTTGGGGGAGAGCAGCAAATGACTGACAGATTGTTGACAGTTATTGTCTCCCCAAATGTGCCACCCTGGGGATGAAATGACGGTATACAACCAAGTGATCTCTTCCTCCTCACAACATATAATATTTATTAAAAGTAATAAAAATATTACTGACTTGCTTTTCTTATAGTCCAAACAGAAAAAAAAAGATAGCTCCTTTGTAGCAGGATGGATTCTTAATTTTGTTAAAGGCGTAAATAACTGGTCCTCAACACTTATGAAGGGAGGGCGTGTCCTTAATAATAATAATGTAACTCACGTGTAGCGGGCCCCAAGGGAATCCACTAGTAGAGTAAACTTCTTGTAATGTTCTATGTCTGCATACAAATGTATGGCATCATCATCAAACATTTTTGTACTGTACAACTGTTCTGAGCTGGCTTAAGTTTGCACGGCAACGCTTGCATAACCAGACATACTCGATGACACAGGTAAAAAAAAATCAATATATGAATTGTAAAATCGTATAATTTATCTCTCAAAATTTTTTAGATATACATACATACATACAAGAGAACAGCTGATACCAATTGGCATATGTAGCCCCTATGATAATAACTTAATAATTGATTGCATTATATATATATATTGCATAATCTGTCACCATGATCATAGCTAAATAATTGTAAAAATTTAACTTCATCATCATATTTAATCATGATTCCAACCCATACTCAGCATTTTCTGCTAAGCTTTCGTCTGTGGGTACTTCCTGCTCATGACTAACATCAGTCCAAACTCTATGGTTCTCAGCAGCACTCTTCTTCCCGGATCTGGCATAGTCAGGTGGTTAGGGCGCTTGAGGGTCGCGGGATAGAATTCTCCTTTCAGCCATGGGGGCATTATAATGTGATGGTCAATCCCACTATTCGATGGTTAAAGAGTAATCAAAAAGTTAGTTTTGGGTGATGTTGACTAACCGCCTTCCCTCTAGTCTATCACTGCTAAATTAGGGACGGTTAGCGCAGGTAGCCCTCGTGTAGCTTTGCGCAAAATTCAAACCAAACTCTTCTTCCCTGGTTTATCTATTTTTCGTGGCCCACTCTTCATTGATTTCTTGTGTTACGTTTTGAAAAAATAAATACATGGGGAAATGCATTTTATTTTCAATTGCCGTTTCCATAGTTTTCCACCTTTAAAAATTTTGTTTTGTTTGTTTGTTTGGTTTT